GTAAATTCGGCCAGCTTTCACTTTCTTGCAATATGCACTAAAGTTATGCCTTATTCTACGCCCTTTTAGTGCTCCCTACAATGGATAATGTGACTTACCTACCACAAAACCGGCGAGTGGTATATCAATATTTTCCCCACATTTGTAATCTGAGGGATCGTCAGATCTCGTTTGGAGAACCAGAAGATGAACTGAAAGAACCTGTATCATCAACGATAGATAAAGAAGAATGCAAGAAAGGAGGCCTTCAAGACAATACATATAAATGGACAAGAAAACAAATTTGCAAACCCATCCAAAGGTTACCTTGCAGACAGAGTTTATTTGTTGATTATCCTTGTGTCCTGAGTATGAACTAGAAGCAGAACCAGCAAGAATATCAGGTACATATTCCTGATGTGTAATTTTGGGCAGACACAAAGCAGCTTGATGAGTCGGTTTCTCTAAATATGGACCATCCAAAGCCTTTCGAGAGTTTAGTTTGATAAACGATGCTGATAACAACAGATATCTGTTTTCTTCTCTACAGAAACAATAATGCAAAGGACTGAAGATGATTTTGTTACTGAAAGAAAAGCTAATTAAGCAACGGGTGTTTTTTAGGTATAATACCCCGTTCCAAGAATCCGGTAGAATGTTGCATTTGCCCCAGGGCCAAATCCAGTGAGATATGAATGCCTTTTGACTGGACCAAAAATCTTCACCTGTAACACATCGTTGATGAGATAAGAGGTACAAAAAATACAGACAGCAGAGAGAAAAAAATAGAATATGCACTAACAATCTGATGGTTGACTAGAACATGAATGCAACAGCTGCTTGAAACATCAATGTCACAAGAGTGAACATCATCAACTGCTAGTACATCGCCTCTGAAAGTCGCTAGATTTCCCTCAGGAAACAAGCTGTTGGAAAGAGGTAGTTGAGACGCCTCCACGCGCATGATCATCTCCCTCTGAGGACAGCACAAAAGATTATTTTTGTCTTCTCCAGCTGCCACTGGCTTATTAAGTTCTTCTAAGTCCTTGAGATATACTGAAAATAGTCTTTTTGCATCATAAGGGAGAAGAAGTGAAACATCTGAACAAGGTTGTGGACTAGAAACATTTCCTTGTTCCACAGTAAGAGATGGTTGAGAAGATGATATAGGGTATACATCCACAGATCCGTCATGGGTGAGAACCTCATCAAAAGAAAATTCCAGACTCCATATATGTGTTTCAGATCTAAAATTGATTTTGTCATTGTTAGATATGCCAGACCGTCCAAAACAAAAAGAATCATCAGTACCATGCTTCATCAAATAGCAACCGCCAATCTGCAACTCCTGCCAATAATATGCAAAAGCCTCATTTAGTTTATAACATTAGTCTCTCTGAAGCATGAATGTTTCACGGGAATCAAATGTTAATAAGAATACTTACATTATAGCTTTTGCATTCAGGTAAGAATTCTAACAGCACACGCTTGACACTGTGCATATTACCTTTTCTGTTTTCCTTTAAATTTGACAGAGTTGCTGTTGTGGTCAAACAGTGACTACTAGCACATCTGATGGTCATCTGGCAGGATATTTCATGTGGCATATACGATACACTATCATCAATGTGGACGTTTTTACATCTCTTATGTGGACGTTTTTCTTGGGAAGTCTTACGTCCATCAAAATCAGGAGCAGCTGCATCTTCTCCAGTCACACTGCAAATGAGTTCCCAGGGAATGATTACAGCCTCGATGAAAACACTGGTACAGTCAGCAATTCCTGGATGACCCTGGTACAAGATCAATAATCATCACAGTTAAATCCTTTATTAGTAGCATATACAACAGCTTACCTTTCTTAAAGCAAAATAAATAAACAATAGTGACATAATGGAGAATGCTATTTTGAGAAATGGAACCATACATTTTTTAAAATTGGAAATTTGTGGGTCACCCTAAACAGATGAAACATTCTCCCTTTGAACTCATTGAGATCATGCCTCCAGTCAATAGAATGATGCTCGAGAACATTGCAACTTGCAGCACCAAACGATAGAGAAAATGGCACTGTCAAGGTGTTTTCTATGGCCAATGGAGTGGGATTAACAACACTTCTACAACGAAGTGTCTTTCGAAGAAACAGCATATGAAGCATTGATTCATGTATTCCATCCACAATAAGATAGTAATCAAAAACCTACAACGGATGAAAGATATTAAATTCAACAGTCGAGATAACGACTTTGGTATCCTCCAATGCACCGGTTAAATGAAGAAAACACAGTTTGAAGTACAAAATAACCTCACATATCCTGGAGGCATTTCTATGACTTAGAAGGTCTGGCGTCAGAACATCAATGCTGCTAGTTCTGTCATGCAATTGAAGTCTTCCAGAAGATGAGATCTATATAGAAGACAAATGTCATCATAGCTACAAAGGGTATAAATAGAGAAAATCAAAAATCTTGTTATGTACCAAAGCTAAAGATATTAAGTAAAGAACCCTATCAAGGTGTATTGATGGCATTGACATCTCAACAGTTTTGAACAACCTTCAAAAAGGTTTAATTGATGGCACAATATTGTACTCATGTAAGCCTTCAGATATGCCATCCTATAATAAAAAAGTTGATATCAGGAGTAGTATACCTTCAATTTTCCAAGCAAGATGACACCAATATCTTCACCTCTAAAACTCTTTGTGTCTGTATGACCGTATTTTTTCCGCGTTGATGATGGATGTAAGCAATTACTAGCACTAAACTTGGTGTCATCTCTCTTCATTTGAGAAAGCAATTCATTCAGCATGACCTTGTAGTGGTGGACAAAACTTGAGATAGGCATTACCTGTTTGCAGAAAACAACGGCTGGAATTAATATTAAGATTTAAAAACAATCATGACAATTAAGCAGAGATCAAACCCGTTCTCTAACCATGATCCACAAAACAATAGACTCACCAGTCTTAAGTTGCAATCACGAGCTTCACTATTGCATCCACGTGATTCATGCATGCAGAATTCAATGAAAAGCCCACACTGCAAATTTAAAAGTTTTATACAAACAAAACTGATGAGCATGAATATTACCCTAAGAAGAATATAAAGCTGCATATATTCTTGATCTTTGAATTTACCAATTTACCCTAGGTTGAAACATGGATGGCGGTATTCGTGACTTTGCATACATCTCTGTCAGTTCATCCTTCTGCTAACACCTCAAAAAAATGAGGAAGACCATAGAACTATAATGAGGGAGAAAACAGGAAAGGCAAGGATCGGAACAAAGGGCCAAAGCCTACTTTCCATTACCTGACAGGATCTTAAGATTTCCTTGTCTGCTGGCATTCTGTCAAAGTTCTGAAGGCATGATCTAACGAGTAATGTCCTGCAAAGCATTGTTTTGCAGCCATATCAGTCACGAGTCATACTGAAATCACATAAGCTATTGCAAAAATCACCAC